CGCAACGAAAAGAAGGGAAGGGGGCGAGAGTAAAATAGCTCCAAGACCCAGGGGCTTCCGAAATCTCTCGCAGGCGGAAGTTTGCAGCAGGCGAGGGAAGAGTCCTTGTGAAGGAGGGATCACACATGTGGGAAAGGACCTTGTAAAGGTGAGATCACGCCCGGCGCACCACCACGTCCTGTCTCTGATACAACTGGTATTTAACGCGAAGCGCCTCTCTTCTGTAGTCTGCACAGACTGAAATTTTCGAACACTCGTGCGGTGAAATATAGGCTTTATATTTTGCCATGTTATTAATTCCAATATTTCGTAACTCTGGACAGCTACAGGTGTATCAGATATACTGCCAATTATGGCCAGACACCAACATCCCTCATAAGCAAAACACTTACATACATATATATTAACAATAAAAAAAACATTTCCTCTTTGCTCAGACTACTTGGCAAATATCAGCGCCATTCATTAACTTGGATTCCTGTATACTCGTAACACACAAAGCGAACACTCTTTGTGTGGCTCACATGTTCTAGAGTCAATCAACGGGACATTCATTGATCAAAAAGCTTTGCAGAAAACTTTCAGAGTCCTATTCCCTTTTAACCAAAGAGAAGGCTTCTGTAACGAAAACGTGAGAATAATGTACTACTTTTTATGTTCAATTCTTCTTTTGCTCTCCAGTCTAAATAATCACAATCTACCAGCAACTTAAAAATAAAAACAAACCAGATTTCGCATTCAAAATACAGTTATAGAACAGTTAGATGAAACTGCATTAACTTTACATATTTGTTTTGCCATTTCCAAGGAGAGGTGACTAACTCGGAAGGCGTGGCCGCGCATTGCAATACAGGCAGCAAAACCACCAAGGCAGTCACTTACCGGCCGCTGACGTCATGCACCTGCTAATGATGTGAAGGCAGAGCGAAGCCTTGGCCGGGTCGTGAGTTCTACTTACCGACAACACTCGTTCGGGGTAGAAAAAAGAAGGGGGAAATGTAATTACTTCCACTGACATGCTGTGGGGAAATAAATGCCGTGTAATTTGCAAGGGCAATTGAAACAACGGATCACGTGGAAAGTGTGCAGTAATAAACTTGTTCAGTCTAACACGCCAGGAAAGTGACGTACACCAGATGGCCTCGGGACACTGCGTCGAGCACCACCACTGCGCTCCAGACAAGTGCAAAAGTTTTGCATAGCCCATCACTGCACATTCAAGTCACGAAACGATCATCGAGAGGAACATTACTTAGGCGCCATTCGTAAAAAGGCTGGAGGGAAATAGCGAGCCGAAATGTCGTACCTTAAACAAAACTCTTTTATAAAAAGAAAAAACCTTTAACAATGCCTTCAGCATATCATGTAAAAGGGGTGAACTCTAACCAGAACAGTTCTGCGCACCAGCCAACGACCAGCTCAACCCACACAGCCATCCAGCGCCACAAGACGTTAACATAAGGGGTCAAGAGGTCTCTCTGGCGTAGCATTACTTGGCACCATACAGTCTAACCTCAAAAGATCCTTATTGCCATCTCCACCTCTTATTCTACCATCACCAACTCCTCTTTTATCCCTTTCTTTTCCTCAATTCCATTTCCTTCCATATTGTTTGGTTTGTTTATGATCAGTTATCTTCTTCCTCCTCCATTACCTTCTCGGCCTCCCTTCTGTCCATCTCGTCCACCACCTCCACCACCTCCTTTTTGGCCTCCCATCCCCTCTCCTCTCTATCTCCTCCACCTCCTCCACGGCCTTCCCTCTCCGCTCCATCTCCTCCTCCATCTCCACCGCCTCCTTCAAGGCTTCCTCTCCCCTCTCCATCTCCTCCTCCACCTCCTGCCTCCTCAGGTCAAGACCCGCCTGCCGCAACTGCAATGGCACCTCCAGAGATAAGGGGTCTTCGATTACTCCAGATACCGCCGTTGCGCCATGAAGAACAGGAACAGGATGAAGAAATCAACTCAACGACTGGCTCCTCAATATTCAAGATTTTCTTTGTCATCAAGTTTATTTTTGGACTTCGCTTCTACAAATAGGTTACCTTCAGTCCAAGGATATTCGTGTCCAGGGGAGAGTTAAACTTCAAAAACAAACTGTCCACTACGACCGGCCTCCAAAGAAGGCACTTGCGTCACCCCGCGAGCAGCTCTCCTTCCAGTCCATTATCAGACTATAATCGCAACTCAAGCGGCAGGACCATGTAAGATAAGGCCAAGCAATAAAGTACAACAAACCTTCGCCCTTCAAGGTTACTGCGCAGCAATGTCCAGAGTCATCACCAAATGTGTAAGAGGTGCACTTGTGTCTGCATCTGATTAAACCACGAATAATGACTTTAAACACAACCCCGGCAATCAAAAGGTGTTGTCTTTATATTAGCATCAGAAAGCAAAGGTTGTTGGCACCGGGACATGGACCAGCCCGTTGGTCCTGCCAGCAGAACCTGCCGTCGAGTCGGTGCTATCTCGCCCACGCTCCCCCACCTACACCCGCCCACACCTCTGCTGTCGTCCTTTCACGCCCCGTGTTCCACAACACGTATACGCCTAAAAGCAGGTACGTTAGACCGGCAGGCAGGTAGGTTGGGCGGTTAAATAACAAGCAAGTACATGGCCTGCCTCGAGAAAAAGAGGTGCAGCCAAGGCTCGGGGAGTTGAATAAGAGCTGGCTCTGGCAGGTCCTACGTGTCGTCATTCGCCCCTTCCTCATTCCAGCCTCCCGGCCTCCTCACAGCGCGCTATCTCTCCCCTTGATTCGCGCGAGGGGCCACCTGGGCGACAGCTCATCTAAGTGCACCATCTCATTACCTGTCGCGGGAGTTGAAGGAGGCACGGAGAATGACACTTGCCGCTCCGGGTTGCCAGTCCTCACCATCCAAGCCAGGCACTGGAAATCCATCGCCAGAACCGGGCTGTTTACCTTTCCTAAACTAAGCCAATCTGGTATCTCGCATTGTCCATTCTAGATAACAGAGCCATATTAAGCTTTATCTATCCGCTGTACTCCTTAGATCCAGTTTGTTCAATGGAGCTCCGTGGACCTGGTGTCTTTAAACCGGCTGCCGCATGGGTCTGCCACCATGCAAATCAGCTTTAGCGAGCAAGCGAGGCTGGAATGTTGACATACTCATGTGGTTGGCAGAATTAATAATAACGAATTGAACATAAATAACAACAGTCGATAGCAATGGTACCGGGAATGGTTTCAGGGAAGTATCACAAGTGTATAACAAAATAAACGCAAAAAATCACTTTTGTAAGTGCGCGTCTTTGTGTGTGTGTGTTTAAACGTGTGAGAATATTTATGAACCTATAAGTGTGTACGTGTGTATGTCTGTTTGAGTGTGTGTGTGTGTGTGTGTGTGTGTGTGTGTGTGTGTGTGTGTGTGTGTGTGTGTGTGTGTGTGTGTGTGTGTGTGTGTGTGTGGTGTGTGTGTGTGTGTGTGTGTGTGTGTGTGTGTGTGCGTGCGCGTGTGGTGGTGCGTGCGCGTGTGTGTGTGCGTGCGCGTGTGTGCGTGCGTGTGTGTGTGCGTGTGTGTGTGTGCGTGTGTGTGTGTGTGTGCGTGTGTGTGTGTGCGTGTGTGTGTGTGCGTGTGTGTGTGTGCGTGTGTGTGTGTGTGTGTGTGTGTGTGTGTGTGTGTGTGTGTGTGTGCGTGTGTGTGTGTGTGTGTGTGTGTGTGCGTGTGTGTGTGCGTGTGTGATGTGTGTGTGTGTGATGTGTGTGCGTGTGTCGTGTGTGTGTGTGTGATGTGTGTGGTGTGTGTGTGTGTGTGTGTGTGTCGATGTGACTTTGTGTGTGTATATGCGAGTCTGTGTGTGTGTGTGTGTGTGTGTGTGTGTGTGTGTGTGTGTGTGTGTGTGTGTGTGTGTGTGTGTGTGTGTGTGTGTGTGTGTGTGTGTGTGTGTGATGTGTGATGTGTGATGTGTGTGTGTGCGTGTGTGTGTGTGTGTGTGTGTGTGTGTGTGTGTGGTGTGTGTGTGTGTGTGTGTGTGTGTGTGGTGTGCGTGTGTGTGTGCGTGTGTGTGTGTGCGTGTGTGTGTGTGCGTGTGTGTGTGTGCGTGTGTGTGTGTGTGTGTGTGTGTGCGTGTGTGTGTGTGTGTGGTGTGTGTGTGTGTGTGTGCGTGTGTGTGTGTGTGTGTGTGCGTGTGTGATGTGTGTGTGTGTGGTGTGTCGATGTGACTGTGGTGTGTATATGCGAGTCTGTGTGTGCGTGTGGGTGTGCGTGTGAGTGTGCGTATGCGTGTTTACAGATGGTAAACATCACACACACACACACACACACACACACACACACACACACACACACACACACACACACACACACACACACACACACACACACACACACACACACACACGTTCACTGTCAATAATAACGGCGCATTCCCAGGAACATATATGAATATAACTGCATACATTTCCATTTCCATATTCTGACACATGCGCACAAACACGGACCAAACAGCAGGCCGCAGCCGCTCGCTTCGGCGGCCCACAAGCAAGTCTTGCGAGCCGCCCTGTTTCCCTGGACCAGCTCAACCTTAATCCACAAACAGTGCCACGTCGCTGACACCATCAGAGGCGCCGACACGTTCCTACTTACAACTTTCCCCGACATCAAAGTCATGATGAATGCCTGGGAATTTTGCTAAAGAGTAGAGTAACATTCAATTTTCTATGGCACATGACTCGCTACCATAATAATACCTTTGTTTCTAATTACGATGACGCACAGGCTAACCGCCGAAACTGACTCGACTGACGCCTTAAAATAACTTTTACTAATTACTTGGATATCCAAGGAATATTCACGCGCGTGTGTATGCTTCGACGTATGTTTGTGTATGTGCGTATGCGTGTGAATATGCAGTATGTGCATATGCGTGTTTTATAACCTTTTTGTAGTTACCTTATATTCACCCTTGGAACATTTTTTTCTCTTGTCTACCTACTTCAGACCTGGTTTAAGCAACGCCCTCCCGCCGCGAGGTACTTACTGCGAGCGTGTGTGACCTGGCGGCCCTCGTCCACCGAGGTGCGGCGGCGGCGCGTGATGCTCAGCGGACGCCGTTTAATTTCCGGCTTTTTCATGGGCGATCTCGAGCGACGATCCATGCCGGCGTCGGCGTCTGCCACAACAGCAGCAGTGGCAGCCCGGAGCCTGCCTGTGCCCCCGCTGCCACCGCTGCTGGATCTCCTCCCGGCGGTAATCTTGCGGTTTCTAAAGCCGCCTGGTGAAGCACATCACCAGGCACCGCGGCGCTACGAGCGACACTCTACAGGAACCTACCGACTTGCGCATGAATGGTGACACAGAACAGGTGCACCGTCAATTAAACACTGTACCACACAATATTTGATGCACTGTAACTTCTTCCTACGTTCAAGTCTCATACACTAAAGGGCACTATCACCATTTGTTACTGCAGTCACAAATACTTTTTTCTATCTATGTGTATTTCTTTATATCAACACAAATTGTTGTTAATAATACTGATTTAATCACAGTGTCCCTTCTTTTGGCACATTAAGTTTTTCAAAATAAATTCTAAGTACAATATCCTGCAAACCAAAAAACGTAAATTAAGTTTTGCCTTCGTGGCGACGACAAATATAGCATCCTTTTCTTTACCATCATTTCTATCACGTGTCTCCTTATCCTACCCTTCCCCTTAATATTCTCCAGCCTTGTTCTGTGTTGCACTGAGCGGGAAGCCATTCAAGTTGTGCATCACCGTCGCTGAGCACATTGTCGGAGAGGGAGGAGGGGGAGAGAGAGAGGGGGGGAGAGGAAGAGGAAAGGAAAAGAGGAAGAGGGAAGAGGAAGGAAAGAGGGAGAGAAGAGAAGGAAAAGAGGAGAGGAAGAGGAAGGAAAAGAGGGAGAGGAAGAAGGAAAAGAGGGAGAGGAAGAGGAAGGAAAAGAGGAAGAGGAAGAGGAAGGAAAAGAGGGAGAAGATGATGAAGGAAAAGAGGGAGACGATGATGAAGGAAAAGAGGAGAAGATGAGAAGGAAAGAGGGAAAGGAAGAGGATGAGAGATGAGAGATGAGAGAGAGAGAGAGAGAGAGAGAGAGAGAGAGAGAGAGAGAGAGAGAGAGAGAGAGAGAGAGAGAGAGAGAGAGAGAGAGAGAGAGAGAGAGAGAGAGAGAGAGAGAGAGACTGATTGGCAGACACGCAGACAGAGACACAGGGTGAGGGGGAGAAAAGAGAGAGTGAAAACAGACAAACACGGGTGAGCCAGAGTGAATGCAAGCAATCCGCATGCGTGCTGTGTGTGCACGTGCCCCTCTCGCCACCATAAGCGAGAGGCATGAAGGAGGTGCGCGGTGGCGTCGCCTCCTTACCGGGTAACTCCTCCTCCTCCTCCTCCTCCTCCTCCTGCCGTGATGCAAAGCCGACTGTCGTAAGAGACTTCGCTCATTAACCATTCTCAACATGCGCTGTTTTGGAACGACACGTCACATCGCACTCTTCCCATTTTCCTTGCGAAGATTCCGTCTGGCAATTTAGAACACATTTTCGGGTCGCCAGTGGAACTCCCATTAAGTCGGTACATCGATTAAGTTAATGACTCGATGTCATAAATCCTCACTTGGAGCACCCAGCCCCCTCCCTCCCCCTCCCCACACTCTTCAAATCCCACAAAAGGCAACCTCTCCACCCACACCGCATCCCAGTGCAACCCACCTCCTACATCTACCCAGAGCTGGCTGAGAATGAGCGCGCACAAACACAGACAGGCAGACACACACACACTTACACACACGCAGAAACGAACATGCCCACGCCCACCCACACACAAACGAACTCACAAACATAGAGCCATACACATAAGACACATATACACAAACATATACAGCCACACCCACTCTACCCCCCCCCCCGGCTGAGCATGAGCAGCAAATGTTGCTCTGAGTAAATACCGGCAAAATGCAACATACGTCAACATACCGCCGATAGACACGCAAGGCCTTGAGCTTGAGTACATCGATCAAATGAATAATAAAGAAGGTTCGTATGATACGTTGAAGCCCACGCACGCCCGACAGCGACTGCCGTTCTGCTGTGTTTTTCATCGACTCCGCCCATGATACGCGAAGAACAGCCAGGAATACCAAATAACTCTTAGCCATTACATAACTGAATATCTAATGTGCGAATCAATATTTACCAAGGAGAACCACCCTAGTGATTTTGCTTACTGTTAGGAGGGAGGAAGAGTATAATTTCGACCAAAATATTCTAAAAAAACTTGGTGAAAGAAAGAATTCTCTTCAAAATCTATGAACTGCTCACCACTCTACAAAGTCAACAAAACTACAAGAATATACACCTTAAAATGAGTTTCAATTACACGCAACAAGAAGTTATTGCACGATTCTCAACCAATAAGCAAGCTTTATCCCTCCCTTACGAGACTGACAGGCAACTATTCGCCAAATCCCTGCCAATAATCCCAGCCAAGCGCAAGCAATTCTTGCCAACACGTCGCCCCATCCCGCAATCCCTTATCTCCGCGTGCAATGAAGCAAGAGGTTAACCCGTGCCACCGAGAACGACCTTGCTGGCTGCACGACGCGCATCGTTAGTGCAATTACAAAATAACACGATTGCCTCCATTACCTTAACGCCAGGATCGACCTTTCTTGTCACCAGCTGTGTCTCCTTCTACCCCCCCCCTCACACACACACACCACCCACCCTAAGACCCGCATGGCGTGCGTGCAGGAGCAAGCTGTTTATCTATACACAAACCAAACGAGGATTTATTGACGTCCCCCAACCAGGCCAACATTCCCCAAAACTTGCACTGGGCAGAACGTCCGACTCAACCCATCCCGAGGCCATATGACGTTGAGAAAGAGCCCGCCCACACGCCCACCTGCCTCTCGAATGGGTGGTGTTAGGAAACCAGCCAAGGAAAAGGCGCAGCAACACGGCCAATGCATCCGACCTTCAACTTCGGCCCGACGTGGAACACAACTGCCTTCCAGAGGATCCGACTGGATGCGGCTCGAGGTGCCCCCTGTGCTTGCGAAAGCGCTGGCAACAGGGATGTCAAAATACGAACTCTCCCTTCAACGCTTTCAGTTTCTGTCTATCGCCCTGGATCCTGCATGAACTTTTCATTCTGGGTGTGACATGGATGGGGATAGGGATGTGGGGAGGAGGAGGAGGAAGAAGAATAAGGAGGAAGAGGAGAAGGAGGAAGAATGAGGATGAGAGGGGGAAGAGGATAAGGGGAGGAAGCGGAGGAAGAGGAGGAGAAGGGGGGGGAGGAGGAGGAGGAGGAGGAGGAGGAGGAGGAGGAGAGGAGGAGAGGAGGAGAGGAGGAGGAGGTAGAAGGAAGAGGAGGAGGACGGGGAGGGAGGAAGTGGAGGAGGAGGAGGAAGGGAGAATGGGAAGAAAAATGTGGGAAAGGAAATGGAAAAGAACATGAAAAAAGGGGGAAAGGTGGAGAAAAAGAGAAGCAGCTGGTGAAGGAGTAACAGGAGGAAAATGGAATGGTAAACGAGAAGACTTACAAGAAGTAAACTGGAAGAAGGAAGAACTGGATCAAAATGAACAATGCATGGGGAGGAGGCGGAGGAAAAGGAAATGGTGAACAAAATGATTTAAAAGAAGTAAAAGGGAGGAAGGAAGAACAGGATCAAAAGAATAAGAAAATAAAAACAATACGAAAGAACAATGCAGGAGGAGGAGACGAAGGGCGAGATGAGATGATATACTTTTGATAGGGATCAATGGAGTGTAATGACCCCCTAACCCACACCAGCAGCATCACCTGTGCGGCGCCAGCATCCCCCCCGAGAACCGACCCACTCGTGTTAACACCAAGCCTCAGAATATCCGTCGGGTGAGTTTTTCCACTACTCGCTTCGGAGGCATCCTAACGGGGCTGTAAAATGTCGAAAAAAATCACCCAAGTACCAGTGTATATTCCCCGGAGTAATTCCAAGGACTTGGCAGACTGGATTACTGTACTTAAGATAATCATTTTGACGTTATTAAAATTGCCAATTATATGAAAATTTATATCGCGAGTCCTCCGAGAAACATCCAGCTGAAACCCTCTGTGTACCAAGCTAATGGACTCGTAATCTCGGCTCGGGTCTCCCTCTAATCTCGGACTCAGCTGCCGGAGACGCTAAGGCGACGGCTCTCGCGCGAAGTACGTGATATTCCCCGAGTGCCGTGGCAAGGTCGCGTCTGCCGCCCTCTCGTCCCCGGAGGCGCACGTGACTCGGCCTCCCGCCCTACGCGAAATTTCGTCGGCGTTCATCACGTGACTCACTCTACGTGGCAACATCATCACACTCGCACGAGGCGCACAGACCTCAAGTTTAATTAAGCAAGCATTCTCCCATAAAAAACGCGTCGTCCTTCCTTCGGATTAGACCCACCGCTCCCAGCTGCCTCTTATCCTCTTCCTTTGTGCTACACTGCATATGTAACGCCTCCCCCCCCCCTTGCCTGTGGGCTCCTATACCGCCTCGCCATTTCATCCTATCTCCATTCCTTTAAGACAAGAAGCCTGGGTAGGAACAGCGTGTATAGTTTAAATCTAAGTTGATAGGCCAATGATACTAACAATATCCAATCACAATGAACTCCAATCACTTGGTATGCAACAAAACCCATCGCCCTACCTTGTAGCATCTTGCCTCATCACTCCCCTCAACCCCTATACCCCCCCCCCTCCGTCCCAACCCAGACAGCAATCTCCTCGTGATCCTCTTACCCCAAAACGCCACCCATTTAGGCCGGGCTTATGGCGTCCGTGCATAACTCCTACTCGCCTTGCACCGACACGATCACGCCATACGGTTAGGGTGGAATAGGGTGGGACCGGGTGGAACAGGGTGGAATAGGATGGAAAAGGCTGGGACAGGGTAAAATAGGGCGGGGAAGGGTGGAACAGGGTGATATAGGGTGAAACAAAGTGGAGTAGGGTGAAGCAAGGCGGGGCAGGGACAGGTTGGAGCAAAGGGGTTCTCCAATTTCCTCAACCTGCGACCACTTCTCTCCGGAATGCCTTGGGTTTTGACCTCCAAAGAACAGTACGAATCGCCGCGGGAAGAAGGAAAAAGGAGAGCGGGAGAGCGAGCTTCCTGCACGGCAACTTGGGGGTTATCGCGGCCCACATCTGGAGGATCTACGCCACGCAGGAACACCCGCCAGGATGTTAACTGTATGGGAACACTATCTCGGGTCCTCTGCTCCTCTGCCATATGACGCCCTCGCACTCGAGACCCACAATACGGCCGCACCGCGTCCTTCAACTTCCTGAACCTCCCTCACACTAACAAGTGGATGAACACTGGGAGGGAGGGAGGGAGGGAGGGAGAGGGAGAGGGAGGGAGAGGGAGAGGAGGGAGAGAGAGAGAGAGAGAGAGAGAGAGAGAGAGAGAGAGAGAGAGAGAGAGAGAGAGAGAGAGAGAGAGAGAGAGAGGGGAGGAGGGAGAGAGGGAGAGAGGGAGAGAGGGAGAGAGGGAGAGAGGGAGGGAGGAGAGGGAGGGAGGAGGGAGGGAGGGAGGGAGGGAGGGAGAGAGAGAGAGAGAG